CGCGTACCTGGGGGGCATGCTGCCGGTGGCCACCAGACTTCTAATCCGCCCAACTTCTTCTACGAAGGCGTTGTCTTCGCGTTGTTGAGCCGCTGGGAGGTCGGTGCGTCTGCTGAAAGGGCAGGGGCGTTCTGGCGGGGGGGGCCAGTGGGGGGTCCAGGGAGGCTCCGAGTCAGAGGTGCTGTCCTCCTGGTAGTCGACCCCACAGTCGTGTCGGAGTCGGACGTAGTCCTCCCAGGCGCTGTTCAAGTCAATGTGTTCATCTTGGACGGGTGCTAGCTCGGCTCTTCTCTGAAAAACCGCCTCTCGAGCGAGAGCCGCTCCGAGTGGGTCGGACATGCGCGGCCTCTCGGCGAGGAGGTGCATGCCGTCGCCTCTCGCGAGGGAGGCGTGCAGGTCGATCGGGCCTGCGGCGGCCGTCGTCTCTTCCAGTGTGCATGCGGTGGGCGGGCCGTCGAGCCGCGGTTCGGTCCGAGGCGCCGTGGGCCCCGCGCGTAGCCGCATCCATTGGATGTCCACGTCGCAAAGCGGGGTGGCCCCCTGGCGTCTTGGCTCTCTCGGGAGGCCGCTGGCGGGATGGTCGCGAGGCGCCTGGGGGATCCAACTTCCAAGGAGACGGGGGTGAGTTGCGGGGTTGGCCACGGCGACCTGGCCCTCCCACGGGGATGAGGGAGGGCCCCGGATCTCACGAGCCTGAGCTGCGCGTGCGCGCCGCATCTCGGAGCATGCTGCGGTCGCCCATTCGAGGGGGGCAGCGCAGAACCTTGCCAGAGCATTTGCGGCTGCGTGTGCATCCGCTCCCCTGGTGGGGAGGGTGGATTGGGCAGCATCGAAGTCAAAGCTGATGTTGTCGCTGTGCTCCACCCTGTATCTCCATCCCCGAGAAGCTCAGTGACGAGCCAGTTAGCGGTATACCCCACAGGCCCAATTTTGCTTTCGCAATGGATGTGGTAATGTATGGGAGCGTACCTGTCGGCCGCTCTGGCCCGCTGCACGACGAGGCGGGGGCTGAGTCCGTCCAGGGGGAGCAGTGGGGCAGCTCTTGTACCTGTGGGTCGGTGGTCCCCCAGGGCTCTCCAGGGGTGTCCCAGGCGGTGGCGCGCTGGGCATAGCCCTGGAGTCGGGTCCCGCAAGGTCCATGTGCCGCACCACGAACATTGTTCACTCGGTTTAAAGAAGTAGTCAGTCTGGAGCCGTCTGGACGTGCGATCCCATGGCCATTAGGCCCTGGGCGCACCTTGTGCAGCTGGAAGGCAGATGCCCGGGCGCGCCATAAGGGGGGTCATGCCTAAGTAAGGGCGGGGCGGGATGACCGCAGGGGTGGCCCGTGACAGCGGCCCGTCGCCAGTCTGAGGGATCGAGTGCACGTCCTGTCCGGCGCAGGGCTCTGAGCCGTGGGGCCAGGCCCATCTTGTTGAGTGCTCGTGGTCTGGGAGGTGGATAGTGCCGGCGCCTCTGTGCTCTCGTATGAGCGCGCTAGTGGCCCGGGCCACGGCGACTGGGCCCCATGGGTCAACGCGCCGGTGGAAGCGGGGGGCGGGCGGTAGAAGGACCTCCATGGGTGGAACGGGGCCAAATTGATCCTAAATCTGCCGTTGAGAGGGCAGAAAACCGCAGTGCACCGCAGTGTTCTGCAGTGGCAGCCTCTACCTCGGCGGAGGAGCCATCCTCGTGCAGGTCAGACGGGGGGGGGGGTTGTCGTTGTCTGGATCGTGTAGCTGTGGGTCGAATAAGATCGCCAGGAGTTTGAATGCGAGCAGTTGTGCGTGGCGAGGTCTGACTCCACCAAACCTGGCTTCGAAGTCGCAGCAGTCGGCTGCCAAGGCCATAGCCCTGTGATATCGACCTGGCAGAGGGCTCTGGCTATGTGCCGCGCGCGGAGGTCCTCGTCGAGGTCGACTCCTGCCCGCTACCGTCAAGTGGACCTCCTGGGCCGCCTGGGGCGTGAAGAGGTCGGTAGCGCGTCCAGGCGTCGTGGATGAGGATGTCGAGGTTGCGCCGCTGGTCCGGAGCGCGACCCCGGGCCCGCCCTCTGTCCAGCCAGGGGCCGCCAGCTCGCGCGGCAGATTCCGGCAGGTCCTGCGGGGGACCCCCGCGTCCTGTTCTGCGTGGGTCTTGGGCGCGTGGGCCGTCCGTGGCCAGCTCCCTTGGTGATCTCGAGGGGGGATCTGCCCGTCTCGCGGCTGTCCCCGGCTCTCCTCGCCCTGCTCGCCTGCGGTCCGCGCAGGGGGTCTGGGGCATGTTTCCTGTCTGGGGCGCGGGACTTCGTCGCAGGTGGGAGGGGCGAGAGCCCCTTATGTGTCGCGGTCTTGAGGCGCCCTCCCAGGACTGGGGGCGCGTCGATTTGGCGGCGCGCCCCCCGTGGCAAGGTTGAGGTTTGAGCCGTGGCGCAGAGGGCGGGGGAAGGAGGTGGTGGGAGGATGAAGAGGGATGGGCTCGCATCGTGATTCGCTCGGTACCGCCTCGGGATCCTCGCCCCCTCTGGTCGGCCTGGGCTCGCCGACCCCGAGGCCAGGGGGGGGGGGGCAGTCTGCCGCTGTCGCGGGTCAATGGAGAGACCCCGTGGCTCGGCTGCGCCCCCCCGTTGGTTGCGCCTCCAACAGCATCTCTGTCCTGCATGCTGGTCCTTCGCGCGGCGGTGATGCCGCGGGACCTGGTGCGCCCGTCTCCGCTGGCGTTCGCCTCTCCCGCGGGCAGGGCGGCGTCGTTCCCCCTCCTGGCCCGGGCTGAGTGGGGCAGGGGCAGGGCGGGGGAAATATCATCGCCTTCCAGGTAACGAGGACCCGAGATGCCGTCAGGCGTGGCTGGGGGTCGGCTAGCAGCCGCGGGATGGTCGAGGGCGCCAATGCCTGCCTGCTCGGAGTCGCCATCAGGATGCGTTCGCGTCGGCCTGGTGGCGGCAGAAGGGGGGCTCTGGGGCCCCAAGCGAGTCCGGGCGGGAGCGCTGAGCACGAGGCGGGGAACTTCTGGGGCACGGGGAAGTGACTCTCGCTCCTCACTGCCGTCGGGCATGGGGGGAACTCGCCATTGCTCTGCTGCTCTACTGGGGCGCGGCTAACAGACGCGGAATGGTTTGGGCGCCGACCCCCCCCCCCCCCCCCCCCCTTAATCTGGAGAGGGGCCAAGCCGCTCAACCCGGAGCAGGGGAAATCAGCAGATGTGTAGAATATGTTGATTATGGCGCTGAGTGTCTCGTTGTCTCGGGTCCCTATGGGGGCCGCATCAAATCCACAGGTGGACAAAATCTGTGATTCGGGGCGCGTGCCCGACGCGCTGAAAATCCACATATTGCAACTTAATATGTGTGCGTGAAACGGGGCCACGGGATCCGAATCGCCAGGGGGGCGGCTATCATCCACGCGTTGAAGGGCATTCTGTGGATCCACGACGGAGTCCCAATCTACAGATTAACAAAAGTTCTGTGGATTCACGAGGCGTACGCGACGCGGGCCCGATCCACATCACTTCAGAATCTGTGATCTGTGGACTTGGAACAGGTCGGGGCCTGGGGGGGGGGGGCAAATGAGGAGGGCGCCCACAACGCGCAGAATGGCATAATCTGCGTCCAAGATGGCGCTTGTTTTGCGGTTCTCCAGAATGACAGGATTTCAGGCCCCCGCCAGCATCCAAATAATGGTAGGGAAAGGTTTCGCCTGGGACCTGACGATGCACTGTTAGGGCGCGGCTAACAGCCGCAGGATGCTGGGGAATGGTTTCGCCTACGACATGTCGATGCCCTACTGGGGTGCAGCTAACAGCCGCAGGATGGTGGGAAATGGTTTCGCCTGAGACGTGCTGATGCTCTGCACGGACGTAGGTAACTGACGCGGACTGGCGGGTACGGGTCGCGTCTGCATGGTCGGCTGAGGTGCGGCTAACAGCCGCAGGATGCTTGGAAATGGTTTCGCCTGAGACGTGTCGATGCCCTGCTGGGGTGCAGCTAACAGCCGCAGAATGGTGGGACATGGTTTCACCTGAGACACTCTTATGCTCTGCAGGGGTGCAGCTAACAGCCGCGGAAGTGGTGGGATACCGTTTCGCCTGCGACATACTGGAAGTGGCTTCGCCTGAGACATGCTGTTGCTCTGCAGGGATGCAGCTATCAGCCGCAATGTCGATGAGATGATCAAGGTCCGATCCTCGCGCTCGATCCTCATCGATGGGATCTGGACCAACCTGCCGCTTCACCCCGGCGCAGCAGACAGCTGCAGCGGCGTGGAGCGGGCGCGGTGGGCAGATCAGGCTACCGGGGCCCGAGGCAGATCGGCATCGGGTGCCTGTTCGACCGGAGGTGGGGGCTGCTATCCTCGAACCGACCCGTAGCAATATTGCCCCGTGCGGGTAGGGCATGGTCGACGGTCCCAAGGGGCCCCGGGATATAGTTGTTTCCTGGCAGTGTCGAGGCCCCCAGGCCCTGCACTCGCTCTGCAAACTCCCCACTTGTACTGGGATCCCCCGGAGGCCGATCTTCCATCTCGTCCATCCGCTAAGCCAGTCACGACTGGAAGGGGGCGCCACCAGGCGGCGGCGCAAAGGGGGTCGATGGCGGCACGGTTCCCGCGCGGCGGCCGCGGTCCGGGGGATTGGCGCAGCGTCGGGCGCCCCCTCGAGAGACGGGGTCCCGTCGGGACGGCTTGAGCCAGAGGCTTGAGCCAAGGGGGCTACGCAGCTGGTGGGGCTACGGAGTCTACGCCTTTCGTGGAGGGGGGCAAAAAAAGGAAGTGGCACGGGGGGGGGACATGACCTCGAATCGGCGACGCATCGACGATCGGTCGGCGCTACACCCCCATTAGAGAAAACGCCTGGTGCGTTCAAAACGACGCAATGGGGGTGATCTCAACGAGCATAAACCATATGTGTGCGTGTGTGCAATTTACCAAGCAAAGTTTCCAAGGGGGGAGCGCCAGACCGTCAGTGTGGCGCGCCGTGCCTTGGGACTCAAGGCTCAGAACTCATTCCATGAGACAGGATGTGCTCGTGCAGATTTTCCCTCCCCAAGCCGTCGCGCTCTGCGACCGCACGGAGCTGCGAATGAGCCCGCCGAAGATGCGGACGATGGGGGAGTCCTCGTGCACCCCTGCGGCGCGCACCTGGGCGCTCTCGCAAAACCCTCTAAACCGGGCCAGGACCATGCAGGCCTGACCCTGAGATCCGACGAGATTCACAATACCGGAGAAGGCACGACGAGATCCTTAGACCCCTATTTCTCTGCTGCGATTCTCAAGCTGGATCGATCTGCGATGGTCCTGGTGCCCGAACCCCGGCGAAAAAAGGCCTGCTTGAAAGAAACGGATCAGATCGCTAGCGCATCGTCCCGGACCGAATCGAGATCGGATCGACGCACCTGCGCGCAGCCGCCGTCCTCGGCTCCAGGCTGGCCCTCGGCCGAGCCAGACTTGGCCTTCCACTTGCACTCCTCGGCGGCGCTCACAGCCCCAGACATTTGATGATCAGTGTCTTCACTGCGCGTGCTCAGGGGTCCCGACTCCTTCCCTGGGGCAAGTTTTGCTTGCAGCGGATCCCTGTTTCATGGTCCAGTGGACCGCGCAAGGGCCTGGAGGCCGAAACCGAAGGAAAAAACACCATCATATGAGATCTGAGGACGGGGATGGCACGAGGGGATCGAAGCTGTGGGATCGAGGTTCGTACGTTTTCGTCGGCTCTCGGCAACTTTCTAGTTTCGGGATGCTTTCTAGCAGCTGCGCCTGGCCGGCAGCGTTCCCAGGGAGACCGAATCGTTCCGAACGGCCAGCGGGGACCCGAGTCATCACCCGAAAATGAAACCTGCGCGGAACACGTTTTTGGCAACTCCTCGGCCTCCGAAAGCCCGTGCCGAGTCCCAAGCTGTGAAACATCGACTTGCGGTACAAGAAACTATCGGGGGAGCGGTCCAGCCCTCTGGGGAGCCACGCTGTGAACAAAAAACCGAAGTCGGATGTCCAAAGGGGGGTGGCGCGAACGAGGCGGCCTTCCAAGAAGGCAGTGAACTTCCGTAGCCTTCTGACAAGGCTTCGTAGAAGCCAGAGGGTCTCTAGGAGGTCACCACCTGCTCCCTGAGGAGCCCCCCCCGCCGTCCTAGAAGGTCGCCCCCCTCGCGTCACCCTCTTTTCGCGCCGCCGAGCTCCTCGTGCATGCCGTTCAGCATGTAGAACAAAAACTCCCCAGCATCCTTCAAAGGAGGAAGGGTCACCGATACCGCTGCCCGTCCGTCCCGCATCACTGCGGCTGGAGTTCGGGGGCGTCCACGCGGGGGCGTGGCAGAGGCGGGTTGGCAAGTCATGGTCCGAGGCCCAGGGGATGCCTGGACATAGAAAGATTAGGGTAATGACACCTGGGAGATGTCATGACTCAAGACAACTCCCTCTTTGACCCCGCCGAAGACTCGCCTCGAGCTGCTGGCCAAATCGCACCCCGGGAGAGGTCTGGAGAACAGCGGTATCGGCAACGTTTTGATCCCCAATCCTGCTGCGCGCCTGCGGGCGGATCAACCGGGGGAGGAAGGCAGAGGGGGCCAGCCTCCTCGGAAGGCGGCAGGGCTTGTCGAAGCCCCCGCGCCCTCTGAGAGGCCGCCTGTCCTCGGAGAGGGCTCAATAGACTTCTCAGGAGGAGGGAGGGCTGCTGAGTAGCCCTTCTGAGCCCCGCCGCCTGCTGAGAAGGTAGGCCCCCCCTCTGGGATCCAACGTTGCGACAATCATTGCAACATCACGAAAGATCATGACCAGAGCCCTGGACCCCCATCTTTCTGCCGCATTTTCGAAACCGATCGATCTGTGTTAGTCCTGGGGTCCCAAACCTGGGGGAAACTTGCCACGCCTGGATCTCAAGGCTCTGCCTTCCCCCCCGGGCGTACCGCCGAGCCTAGAGACTGCCACGTGGAGATGATCTCCGTCACTTGCGTCATGACTAAGACGTTCAGGGGCTCTAGACCGTCGGTTCTCTTGTGGAACTCCTTGCAGAGGCGCGCCATGCCAGTGTAGAAGGGGCGGTCTGAGTTCGTCTGCGCGCAGTGCGACAGCAGCTGCATGAGAGCACTGCAAGGTAACAGTGACTGAATTCGACGGTCCATTGGGATTCTCAGGGCGTGTGAGATAGTTGCCCCCACGAGAGCCCCAAAATGACCGAACAAGGTAACCTTCGACCATGGCCTCGGATTTCTCAGATGGGCGGCCGGCGCCAAGACGCTTCTACGACAACGCCCTCTAGACGAGAGGCAACCAGGGCCCTCAAGGGGTCGGCGGTGCGGCGCAAGCAAACGAATCACTACGTTTACATAACAATTATTCGCCTCGTTCCTCATGCCTCGGCGGTTGTATTTGGCTGTCGAAATATTGTTGACACCGCCCTCCAAGAGGCCGTGGAACTTCTTCATCTCGCTGGGCACATCGAGCTGCGAACCACTGGCACCTACGGCTGCTGACGAATATCACTCGCAAAGCAAGAACCTGGTTCGAATTTAGGATACCACTGCGAACCACATGATCCATGCTAGCGTCAGCACTATTCAGTCTTTTGCCTCCGAGAAGTCATCCCTAAGAGTAGTTTAGACAAGACAATGCGAGGTACATCTATGTAGCACAATGTTTTCTGTGGCCCCATCTGTGAATTTACCCAGGTGCTTGCCAATGCTTTCGCATGTGCTCCGCAACAACATTAGTAACAACATGATCGTTAATGCAACACCGCCCTCCAACCCTCTGTCCACCGCGCGCCTAGGGACAATGTCCGAACGCTCGAAACTCACGCTCTGATAACGCCTTGTGCTGCTGATTGATTTGAGTAGCTCCTCTGTTCCATTTTGTTTGGGCCTCCCCTATACGATTCAAGATTCTGCCTCCAACTCAGAGGTGTGAACACCTCCGAATGCGATGCGCAACAAAAACATCTACGTGAACCAGACTCACTGAAATTCGCAATGGTTTTTCTGCGATCAGGCTTTGCCCCAAAAGGTCCTCGCTTTTTCCGTTTACCCGGTGCCAGGTACATGCGCCGGCAGCCGCGCTATTCCGCGCCTTGGTTTTTCGTCTCCCAAGCCCACCCCCGAGCGCAGGTGCCTGGGCCCCCGGGTGCCGACATCTGCTGTGCTGTGCCATGCGGTGCTAAAGCAATGCGAAGCTATGACATGTTATACGGCTGCGGCATACTATGCAAATCCATGATTTGCGTTGCAATGCTTTGTACTGCCTTGCATTGCATCCCCCTCTTTGTGCATTGTGTTCTATTTGCAAATCTACGGACAGTGTGCGTAATATAATGTACATGTTCCACCTCCTCCTCCTCCTGATCCTCGTCATCCTCCTCCTCTTCCTCCTCTTCCTCCTCCTCCATCTCATCGTCGTCATCGTCACTATCACCATCATAAAACTCATACGCATAATCATCTGAATCATCAGCATCATCACGATCGTCATCATCATCATCATCATCATCATCATCATCATCAACATCACCACCACCACCACCACCATCATCATCATCATCATCATCATCATCATCATCATCACCGTCATCAACATCAGCATCAACATCATCATAATCACCACCATCACCATCATCATCACCATCATCATCATCATCATCATCATCATCATCATCATCATCATCATCATCATCATCATCATCATCATCATCATCATCATCGTTATCATCATCGTTATCATCATCATCGGCGTAGCCGTCCTCGTCCTCATCCCCATCATCACCACCACCGCCATCAATATCATCAACACATTCATCCTCATCATCATCACCATCGCCCCTGACGGGCTCACAGAGTACGAACACGCAATACAACACAAAGACAGCCGAGGTGTCACACGTGAAGGCGTCAAACACAATCCTCCCCGAACCGTCCAAGAAGGCCCTTTACGAGCAACGCGCCTCGTGTTACGACTCTCCGAAAACCAGAGCTACAACATGTCACACGCTAGGGCCTCCATGCTCCCTCGGGCACAAGCCACCGAGAGAGCTGGGCTGGCATGGCGGTGGGATTTGCCGCAGGCAGCTGGACCATGTTGTTTTCGTGGCTCGTGGTTGAGTTACGATGTCTTGAACGTGGTCAAATCCACATGTAACATGATAATGACGTGCGCGTGCGGTGGCGCGACCATCTGGCCCGTAATGCTCTGTGAAAACGATTAAAAAGACCGGTTATTCGATCAACGCATGCGCACCGCATGGCCGGAGATGGCGGGGGATGTCGATACATTTTGGTTGGGGTGATACTCTTCGAGAAAAAATGGCAACGCGCGAGGGTGGGTTTTGGGGGGCAGATAACCCTGACCTCGGCGGGGGGGGGGTATCGTCTCATTTTCTGGACGGAAGGGAATCGAATAGATGCGGTCCACACTATGTGGTGCAAGCTACGTGGTGCAACCAATGCTTGCCAGCGCATGAATTGTTCACTACACTGCTCGCGCCATCATCCCACCATTGCCCGCAACTTGTTTTGCAAAGCCCTTGCGGCCGCGATTGCGGTGACTGCTTGGGCCTGGCTGGCGCATCTCTGACGCCGAGCTGGCGCGCGCAACCTTGCGGGCAGGGCGGCAAACTCATCTGGTATTGCCGATGGGAACTTCCAAGCGCGTCCCAGAGGCCGTGCTGGGACGATGATGACAATGATTCTGTCAATGTGTCGGTGCTGAAGGTGATTGACGAGGAAGCGCGCGCGCAGGAATTCGAACAACCAAGCAATGTTCTTTGTTGGAGCAATCAGCAGTTTTCTATACATGTTTGAACAATTCTAGCTTGAAGCGCTTCGAGCCCAATGGTTTGGGATTAAATTCGACGCGCGAGCGTGGCCGCGCGCATGTGTGGCCTCCATTGTATACTTTCATGCGAACTCGTGCAACGGGCGCATTCTAAATCAACGCAAGTGCTACGCGCGGTGGCATTCAAATGCGGGTTTTTGACGAGATTGCCGCAAATGCGCCTGGGCAGAAATTCTGCAATCTCTGTGCTAAACAAGGAAAGATCCATGTTAAATGTTGAAGTGCTCGCACAATCGGCGCGCGCGTGTGTGTGTGTGTGTGCGTGTGTGGTGGGGGAAATGAGCTTGACGTGCGCGCGCGTGTTCGTGCCTGTTGGCAAACGACGCTTGAACAATAACATTTTGAGATGAACGTGAGCGCGCGCATGGTATGATCTGACAAAGATGAGGGGGGATGTCGACACCGTTGGGCTGGCATGGTGTAAACTCATTCAGAAATGAGCGACGAGGCAGAAACACATGTAAACTCGCAATGCGAAGAGGGGGGAAGTTAACCAGGGGGGGGGGCGCCGGGGCCCGGAGGCTCCCCGGAGGCCACGCCGAGCGCGGCCGCGCTCCCCATGCTGCAACCTGCTCCCCACATTCATTGTTTCCTTCAGGCCCGCGACATTCACCCTGCCCTCAAGGGACTTCTTCTCCCCCGCCGACTTCGCCAACCATGACGTCCTCTACGCGCCGGCGCAGTCCTGCCTGGCATCGACGACTGCGACGTGAGCGCGCAGACGCACGAGTACTAATGCGACTGGACGAAGCACGACAACTACTCGAAGTCCACCACAGCGCCCAACAGCCACCTCGACCACCAATTGCCGCCATGGCGCCCAAGATTGCTCGGACTCCAGTCGGCAGCTACCGCAATAAGCAGTGGCACCAGCAGCAGCACCAGAACCGATACCAGCCGCGCCCAAGGGACACCGCAAGAGCACCTCGGACACAATGGCGCGCCCGCAGCCGCGCCGTCACCCGCGGCGCGGGCAGCGGCGGCCCCGCGGGGCAGCAGCGCCAACGGCCTCAGCGTGCAACGCAGACAAGATAAGCGACAAGAGACGGCTGCCAACATCGCCCCCATGACCCTCACCGAAACCAGAAGACAGCAGCATTGGAACGAACCGCCCCCAATGCATCGCTTCGACAGTGTCAACAAGTACCGCAATAATTTTCAATCAGGCATCGACTACCTCATCGCCACCATCCAGCGGCGCGCCAACGACGACTACGACTTCGAAGGCATCGCCACCAATATTCGCCTGCATAAGTACATGCGACTATACTCACGCGACGCAAAAGGACCAGCGAAGAGAAGTCGAAGCATGATCAACGACGCAATCACGCAAGAGGACGACTCACAACAACAACAACTGGAGGAGCTCCAACAAAAAGGCTACAACTCCGGGAGATCGACATCGCCAACTTCGAAGGCTTCACGACAGCATAAGGGTGGGCAGAATCGGGCGACGATGCGGGCGCCGAGTCGGCAACGACGCCCAGGAGGCGAACGAAGCAACAACGCTCCGACGCCCCTGCTCCCAACGTTGGAAGGCGCCACCGAGGATTCATCGGGGGCATGTCACTGGCACCTTCAGCGACTCATGCGCCCGCGAAGACCTCCACCATCAACGAGCTGCGAAAATAACTACAATGAGCACAGCATACAGCCGAAACGCAACGAAGTCAGGCCGCACATCAAAAAGCCACCATCGACCAGGTCGAAGAAGCGAAGGGGACCTACTACAGGAACGAAAAGGAAACTACCGCATGATCCAGCGCTACGGAAAGGACCAGATGGAGGAACACAAGAAGGATATCTACACCATCAGGAACGCAACCGGGGGGGTTGCAGAGTACGGCGCCCGCGAGAATGAGAAAGACAGCAACGCCATCGGCAACGTCGTGGAAGAGCTCCGCGAGGTCAACGACATCATGCGCCAGACCGTCGACCAGAACCGCAAAATCTCCTTGGAGGCAAGACAATTCCACGAGGGCTAGGAGGAGACAGGCATTACCGGCGAGCACCTACAAAGAACCCTCGAAGAAGCGCGACAACAAATGCACCGGCCGCGGCAGCTACAAGTTTCGGACGCGCTCATCAAGTACAACAAAAGACAAAGACGAAACCATGCAGCACCTTGAGCACCAACAACAAGTCATCATCAACGACCTACAGCAGACAAGAAACGCGGCCCATCAAGTCCATGAGCAAAAGCATTCATAATAACAGCATCGACAACAGCTTGCAGTCGCGGAAGCCAAGAGCGCAG